ATGTTTTCATATCCTAATTTGATGCGAGGCATGAGTGATCTGAGTCTTTCCATGTTGCTTCCCTTTTCCAGGTGCCGTGCAACCATGGACAATTGGACATGGGCCAAGTGCGACAGCTTCTGGAGTCTCAGCAGCAGAGCAGATGTGGGCTCTACCAACCAACGGGATGTCGCAAATTTGCTGAAAGGATTGGATGTACATGTGTGTGTGTGTGTCGAAATGAGAGACCCTGAGCGATGAATTGAACAACAATAACTATATTTCCTGCGCCAACGGGTTGACATGGGAGTTTGCCTACTCTAAAACACACCCGATCACATTGAGTCGTAGATAATAATTTGTGGTTTTGGGATAGCTTTTCCATTCATGAAAAGTCAAGAAGGCGGTCCTACCTCATCAAGCTGCTAAGTGTGGGTGTTTTGTACGCCAAGAAAAATCCTATGCCATTCCCGCCCGCTGTTCCAAAAATATGCTTGTCGTAACTTGCAGTGTTTTTGCAGCTTCGTTTTCGCTTGCGTAAGCTTTATAATGTAACGACCAGCGCATCAATGTGCACCTCTTTAGAGTGCAAAATAGAGCATGTTCGTTGACATCCACGTGATGTTGGGAATCCACCCTTGAAGCAAATTTCCCAGGATGGCTGGCAACACAGTCGAAGCTTTTCAGCGAAAGCTTCGAAAGCAGCAGCGACTTGGCGATGCCACAGACATGGCAGAATATTTGAACTCTTTTTGTTTCTTCCCAGTTTTTTTTTTGTGTGTGTTGAATGTATTGAACTGTTTGTGAAGACGCTGGGGCAGACATCCGACTGCGAAAACAGCAGTGCACCTGTCACTGTCGATTGTGAACAATACTCACTTGAGGTTTTGCACTGTGTACATCAGACTTGGAGTTTCCGGAATCAACCCGATGTTCTATTGGCACACTCTGACACGGTTGTCACAGGTTGTTGTTCAGTTATATGTTTTCTTCTTTTAGACGTGGGCTTTGGGGAGGGTATCCAAGACATATCCATACAACACCATCATCGCAGGCTCGGACACCTGCTGCATCTGGACAGTCATCAAAACCGCAGGAGGCTCAGATCAGTTCTGGGAAGTTGTAAAAGATAAGGACAGAAGTGATAATGTCATTATCTAAAATGCTAGGGCTACCTCTTTCAAGGAATCTGGTCTGACTGTGGCTTCTGGGTGTCTCGTCTCAACTTTCTAGAGTTAGTTTGAGCACAGCTCTCAGATGACGCAGCTTCTTAATGAGCCAGGAACGGTCCAGGAACCAGTTCCACACCCAATGTCATCAGATCCCATACTTGAGTAAGAATCTGAACTGAAAGGGGTCTAAAAACTCCGAACCAAGAAATCCCTTCACCGGATGGTTGCTGCGAAGGGAGTGCAGACTCACTGCAGACTCACTGCAGACTCAGCAGTCCTCGTGTTGTTGAGCATAGCCGGTCAAGCCGGTCAAGCGCCTCGGGGTTTTGCGAAACGCTCCATGTTTCCACATTGTTACCGCAGAGATGGAGGAATTCATATCACAACAGTTGCGTTTTTTTTCATGAAGGTGGTATCTGAGTCTGGATGCACTGGATGGGTAATTTTGTGTTTAAAGCATAGGTTTTTAGGAAAGGCATCATTCCAACAGTGTTGGGAGTCACATATGGTGCTGGTGATGCTAAATTAGTCTAGTGCATTTGTTTGCATTGTATATACTTATATTACAATGGACGTAGATGCTCTTTGGTCATGATAAAGCTTTTGTTCCTGACCCTCTGCTATTCAATCCATTCATCGGAGAATCAGGAACCGGGACATCGGGATATCACGCAGTTTCTTGTCAAACGGTGTTCATTACTTATGATCAAACGATCAAACGTATTGTCGGGATATTTGTTTGGTAGCATGTTCATACGTAGTGGATTTGGGTTCTTCGTTGAAGTTAACAATTACAGGTATGTTTCGTATGTTGGGGGGTCTCATATTCTGCTGCATTGCACTCATCAAGCAGCAACTGCCCCTGCATGTTGAATGATAGATGTGGTTGATTTCTCAGGCTGTGGAATACTTTTGTCATGCCAGTGCTGCTGAATCATTTCATGCTGTGTCGGATTTTGCATCACCTTCTGTGAGGCTGCATGTGTTCAACCACCCTTCAATTCTTAAAAATTCAAGTTTTCTCCACAACAGTTGCGGACTGCAGCTTTGCTCTCGTTACGTGCGCGTGTCCTACACGTCCGTACCCCAGGTCCGATCACCGATCTGCCACGGCGGCCTCCAGGCGTCGACTGCTCTTGGGATGTCGATCTTCGGAATCATAGTCAATCATGCCGATCATACTCCAAAAAGAAAGAAGAGATGCTGTCCACCAGTTGGAGGTCTTTAACATTCCTTTTTTTGTTGCACTCTTTTCACATTGATTCTTCATCCCACTGAACTGTTTCTCTCCATTTCTTTGACCATTTTGCTGTTCGGTGGACCTATTTCCATTTCGATCCAAGTTCTGTCCAACTGTGCCCGGTTCGCAGGGAAAGGCCTACCGTGTTCCGACCTCAGGGACTCAAACCGGACAGACCATGCGACGAAGACCATGCGACGCGACCGAGCAAATGCATGGTCAGATTGATCAGTCATCCTTTTCATGGTAGGTTAGCAAGGGTTTTGGAGGGTTTTGGTGTGTGTCAATGTGATTGGCCATATTTTTTTGAGGCGGAGAATGGTCTAAAGCCCTCGCTAAACGCATGGTGTTCACGTCAGGTCCATCCTTCCGAGTGTCCGACGTTGTCGCCTGAGAGGTCCACGATGTGATCTGCCGAGGCTGCGAGTAAAGAAGCGCCAGGCGCTACCACAGGCAGGAAGCATCCTCATGAAGGACCCGACCGTTTGGGCGACACGTGAACGTCGGCGACACGTGGAACGTCACGTAGCTGGAGAATCATTCTTTGCAATGTCGGAGCTACCAGTACATTCTGGAGCGTTTTGAGCTACCAATATTCGGAACATGGGATATGTTACAAAGGCCAAGAAGGCAGCCAAAGTATAGATGCATGCTGCACGCAGCTTTTGTTGGGAGGAGTCCAGGAATCAGGCGGCTCAGCTTTGGATTAGCTAGGGGATGAGTTAAACTACCGAAACACATGGTTTATCATGGTTTGATAGGCCTCAGACGGTCGATTGAAGGTCAATCCAAGGATTCGCATATTCATGTATTGTCTAATTCCATGGATTGAAGTGTGTTTGCATACAATATATGGTTCAATCACTGAATCACTATGCTATATCACCTGTACCAGATCATCCACCCTCGCCAAGAAAGGCTAGTTACCCGTCCTCCCCAACGTTTACCGAGGCATAGTTCGCCGCGTTCTGAGCGGCGGACGAATGAGATTGATCGCAGGCCCCGTGTGGGACTGATTTTCCCCCCTGTCAGCCAAAGGCTACAGGAATCGAAGAAATGGTTTGGACTACGGCTGTGTTGTCTTGCAATAAAAGGCCGGGCGAAAAAAACACAAAGAACATTTAAAAAAACTCCTTGCAACAAAAACGGGATGTTAAATTTCTATTCGGACTGCAGTTGATCTTTTTTCGGATACTTTTGTCGACATTTGCGACATGAACAAGTGCGACCTGCCAAGCAAACGCGCAGAGCTCGGTCAGACGCGCAGAGCTTGGACGGTCTGAAACGAGAAGCACCACCAGTCTGATCGCCGATTCTGTAGACAGGCTGTGAGGCTCTTCAGGCTCACCACAACAGACTGAATGTGTTCACGCCATTATCACCTTGTCAATTAGTTTTGTTCTTTTGTTTTTGTGTTCTCGCTATACGGACCTACGCCAATCCATGCTCCCTTGCTCCTACAAACAGGTATGCTACCAGTGTCTTTTGCTACAATTACAACGCGTCTAAGTAATCCATCCGAAACTGGCCAAGTCGTGTTTCCCAATCACCGTGAAGCTACCTCCAGCGCATCTAGCATGCCTAGGCAGAAGCTTTAGGTTTTCTGAGGCTCAAAATTAAGAAGCGGCCGAGAAGCGGGCTGCTTTTCCAGCCAGTGTGTTGCCAAACACTCTTCCGAGCTGCTCTTGCCACTCTTGCCGCACTGGTTTGCTCAGACATGCTGAGACGACATACGACTACTATTCCACTTAGAACATTTGCCTTGCTTGCTGCTGACTTGCGTTTTTTTATCGGTATGGTGTGTGGGCATAGCAATTCACTTTTCCTCCAACTTACACGTTCAACGTGTTTTTTCGGGTTCTGCTTTCTTATCTTTCTAGCAGTACTTAGGGTGCTTTTTTCTTGGCTCTCTTTTCATTGGTTCATATTGGTTCCCCATCGCAGAATTTTCGCAATGTGTATTGACAATCTTCACGAGAAGAATAATACAAGTGAAAGTGACAATCTTCATCTCCATTGGTTCCTATGTCGCCGTTCTTCCTTTCTTTCCCTTGTGGATCGCTAAGAGTCCCTGGTTCGATTGCTCCCTCCTTTGCCGGTAGGGCCATGTGTCAAGCTGGGTCACAAGGAGACATCACTCCGTCACTTGCGGTTGGGACATCCAGGTTGTCAGGTGGCACAGTGCCAGACGATTCTAGGCCACGCACCCACACGCGAATCCGAGGCAATGTGTTACCAAATCAATGCAAACAGGCCAAGTCAGTGCCACAATAGAGAAAACGAGGCTTAATTGGAGCCTTGTTCAGTTGTTTTCCATCAAGCCTTGACGGCGATAGTATCTCACAGCAGCCCACGCGTCCCCAACGCTAAATTCTTTTGGACTTTGAGTGCTTTCATGTTAAACCATGTCCAACTGCTTTCTGGCACGCTTTTCTTGACTGTTTGTGTGCAGGCCTGAAGGCTGTGACTGCCAAGTTGATAGAGATCAAGCTTCAACCAGAGGGTTTTGATTGCCACTTTGGACATCCTTAAATCCTCATTCCTTAGCGCATCTCCACTTGCATCGGACATCCTTCGCATGTCTTGTTCTACGACCTGCGCCCCAGCATTTTGCTCAAGCGAAGAAGTCGCAGGTTTCAGCCGGGTCGTGCTCCAAATCGATCGCTAGGCTGGCGGTCAGCTCATGAGAGACCGGACTCAATTCATGCGGAGGTGATCACTAAGAACGTCTGAAAAAGAACATCGAGAGTCACAGAGTCATTCGGGTACTCCAAGTGGTACCAAGATGTCTCTTTGTGTGGAGAAACATCGGAGAAAAACCAACCACCATCCATCTACGACAGGTTGCCACCTCCCAAATTGTTTTGGCAGTTGGGCTCCGAGTTGGGCTCCGATCCGTGTGGTCCGAGTCATGAAAAGCATCGAACTGAACCGCGGATGTCTCACGGCTCCGCAGCGTGACAAACGGCACAACCACTCTCCTCATTGAACCCGTGCTGCTAATGCTGCAGGAGTAGACGAGTGATGACTCTTGTGGTCTTAAAATATATTTAGAAAACCAACAGCATACAGAAAGAGAATCCCGCGAATCCCGCTCCGACACGGGTGATTTGATTGGCCCGGTGGAAGTCCTTGATTGGTCAGATGTTGCTCTGTGCTTTTTTACCGTTGTTGGAGGTAGGTTGGAGGGATTTAAGGAACGCAGCTTTGATGGTGGCGTCCACTCCCAAATGGAGGTGCTTTGAAGGGCTTTTGTTGCGTGGATCATGCAGAAGTGGCTCACCCTCCGAGGCTAAGTGGATTCTAGCATGTCAACGTTTGACGACGTCGGGCAGCCTGGGGGGGTGGAACGCACGAAAAAGACGACCCCCAAGAGGTGTTGATGATTTTTGTCGACAGGGATTTTTGGGTGAAGAGGGTCCAGTCTGGCATTTTCTGGCTTTCGGAGTTGTTCCTGAAGCTTAAAGACCAACAGAAAACAGAGTCACAAAGATATGGAATTCAATTACTTTGTGGGTGCAATACGTTGAGGGCTGAGGTTTTCTTTGGTATGGAGATGTGGGCTGCAGCTGTGCAATTTCTGGGTTGCAAGAAACGGGTCTATCCACAAGATCTTTGGTATGTTGGGCGGACGAGCTCTGGATCTGTGCCCGGTCTCTTTTTTCCCGAATGCGTAGCGAAGGGTTCTTGTTTAAGTCTGGGGTGTGGAGGTAGAGTCTTGTTCGCGACTTGTTGTCGTAGCGTTCGCAAACGTTTTTCGCGGTAGGGCGCTATGCCGCTGACATTGGGCAATGCTTTTGGAGAGGGTTTTGGATGGAAGCATGACAGATTCCTGTGAAATAGCGAGGAAGCGTGTGGAAACGTGAGAGGATGAAGTGTGGAGGATGATTTCACTCCGCAGGTGCAGCGTTTTATGAGATGAGCAGTTTTCTTCCCAGTCACATTGGGATTGGCGTTTGGAGGGTGGTGTTTTTGGGGTGTTGGATGTGGCTGTGACATTGGGATTTGCGCTGCAGGCTGTGCTTTCGTGACAAGTCTCAGCCACTTGGTGACTGGGAGTGTCCTCAGAATGTGTCGAAATCAGTCCAAACGTGCGGCGTGGTGCAAATTTTGCTGAAGCTCCGAAGATATGATTATTTTGACACTTTTCGTGGCAGGCGCAGTACTTTGTGCGGGCTTTGAGGTGTGGAAATGCATTTTGAGTGGCAGGTGCAGGATTTCGTACAGGCGCATCCCCTAAGAGTGTCCCACTAGAGTGTCCTACAGAGCCCTATAAGAGTGTCTTACAAGAGTGTTCCGCGAGAGTGTCCCACAAGAGTGCCCTAAAAGAGTGTCCCACAAGAGTGTTCGACAAGAATGTCGGGCAAGAGTGCCCCACAAGAGTGTCCATGAGATGAGGGTGTCCTACAAGAGTGGCGTACAAGAGTGTAGGACAAGAGTGTCCTATAAGAGTGTTCCAGAAGAGTGTCCGACAAGAGCGTCCTACAAGAGTGTCCTACAAGGGTGTCCCGCAAGAGTGTCTGACAAGAGTGTCATACAAGAGTGTCCCGCAAGAGTGTCCTACATGAGTGCCCGACGAGGGTGTCCCAGAAGAGTGTCTGACAAGAGCGTCCTACCAGAATGTCCCACCAGAGTGGCATACAAGGGTATCGCGCATGAGTGTCCCACAAGAGTGTCCTACAAGAGTGTCCTACATGGGTGTCCCACAAAAGTGTCCCACAAGCGTGTTCCGCAAGAGTGTCCGACAAGAGTGCCCCACAAGAATGTCCGACGAGGGTGTCCAACAAGAGTGTCCTACAAGAGAGTCCCACAATCCGACAAGAATACGTCCTACAAGAGTGTCCCACAAAAGTTTCTCGCAAGAGTGTCGTACAAGAGTGCCTTGCAAGAGTGTGGCGCAAGAGTGTACCACAAGAGCGTCGTACGTGAGTGTCCCACAAGAGTGTCCGACAAACGTCCCGCAAGGCTTTTCCGCAAGAGTGTCCCCACAAGAGTGTCCTACAAGAGTGGCATACAAGGGTATCGCGCAAGAGTGTCCCACCAGAGTGTCCTGCAAGGGTGTCCCACAAGAGTGTCGGATAGAAGTGTCTTACAAGAGTGTCCCACAACAGTGTCCCGCAAGAATATCCGACGAGGGTGTCCGCCAAGAGTGTCCAAGGACTGTGTCCCGCAAGAGTGTTTTCATAACAGTGTCTCACAAGAGTGTCATAGTGTCCACAAGAGTGTCCAAGTGGCAACTTGTAGCGCACATGCAAAGTGGGAAGCATGTGGCCTCAACTGGCCACTTGGTAGTACAAATGTGGTGCAGAAAGCAGTTTCCGAAAGCTGTGGCCTCAGAACTGGCAACACATGTAATGCGGGAAGCAGCTTCTGGAGCTGTGGCCTCAGGACTGTCAAGTGATGTGGCCAAATCTGAGTACGTGACGTGAGTGTCCCACAAGGTTGTTGCGCAAGAGTCCACAAGAGTTTGTGGCAAGAGTGTCCCACAAGAGTGTTCCACAAGAGTGTCCGACAAGAATGTCCTACAAGAGTGCCCCACAAGAGTGAGTGTCATAGAAGAGCGTTCCACAAGAGTGTCCCTCAAGGGTGTCCGACAAGAATGCGTCCTACAAGAGTGTCCCGCAAATGTTTCCAGCAAGAGTGTCCTACAAGAGTGTCCCACAGAGTGACGAAAGTGTCGCACGAGAGTGTCCCACAAGAGCGTTCTACAATAGTGTCTCCTACAAGGGTGTCCAAATGTTTGGGCCATTGTTTTCGAGCACGTGTTTGCATTCGGGTTTGTGCACATGTGTTTTTTCATGATGTTTGTGTGACATCACAAGGTTCAGAGGTAGTCGCAATGTCTTACTGTAAGTACCTGGATTGTTCAACTTCTGCGCGCATCCTGATTCCTCTGAGCTCTGCATGTGTAACAATGGCAGTGTGGTTGTTGTCCTACCACAACACACGACGCACGCATCTTCCTAACGTCAAAAGAAGTCACACGCCAAGAAATGTTTGGGTGAAAGTTTGGTTGGCGAAACGCATCGATGATCATAACATATCATAACAATTCTCATAGTCTTCATGAATCCATTGGCCCTTCCACATGGCTCAGTCTTCTTTGGTGAATCCTTCTTTGGGCCAAACATGGGTCCTTCCGTTCTTCGCAAAAACAACGGAGAAACAGACATATTCAATCATATTCAGTTTGTGATGCAAATTGTACAAAGCCACTGTCACTTGTAACAGTGGGGCGCCATGTTTTGTCCTTGTTTTTTGTAGATGAATTTAAGCTTTGGCGCTTGTGCCATCCATCAAGGATGAAGCAAAGGAGCTACTATAAATGATTCCTCTTCCTCGTGTTCCTGTCGGTGTCACCCTCCGCTTCAGCGGAACAAAGCGCTCTTGTCCTCCCTTGTACTGCATGCCATTCAGACTTGATGGTGGTCAAACGGCTCTCAAATGGTCCCTGCAGGGCAATGCCAAATGGGGAGACCATCTAAAGACCCTCAGGTTGATTGGGCCGCAGCCGGGTCCCCAGAAGGCCCAGATGCCCTCAGTGGAATGCTCTTGCAGCTTCAATCATTGCATAAAAAAGGTCAGGTTCCTCAGAGTGGTAAGTTGCGAGTTTTTTCAAGCATTGATTCGGTAGAGGTTTACTTCTGATCTTGACTGTATGATGTTGTCATGCATTCCCGAAGTTGCCTAAGATCCCCAGGCAGTCGTTCGTTTCGCAATGCTTACTTCTTTCTTTCTCACATTTCCGTGTCAGCATATGCAAGAGGTTTCTCATTGCTTTCAGGATGCAAAGCCGCATCCGTTGGCCCCAGACCTGTCTTTTCAGGTTAATTTTCTGCTAAGCCAAACCATATTGGAATTAACATTATTTGATTAGCAATATGTTTGTTGTTTTTCGTGTGACATGATGTTCTCTTCCCCGACTCATCATGTTCAAAGCCGACCGCAGGTGCCCCGCGGGGAGCCTGCGTACCGTCGCCCTGATGACGTGCCTACAGGAGCGCCGACAGGTCGCTGACATCGTTTGTTTGTCGCTGACGTCACCTGAGCCGGCCCAGGCGGAGAAAACAGCGGCAGTCTTGACAAATGTTTGCAATATGTAGGCGGCACACCCAAACTCTGGTCAACGAAAATGTTGATACACAGATGTATACCAGCAGGGCAGTTTGCTCTCCAAGAAGTATTTCTGGGCCTCCTCTTTCTGTCCACCTGGACATTGGGCCAGTCACAAAGAGCTAAAAAAGGATTGCTGCACAGCACTACGTTTTTCAGTGAGCGGAATTGTCCATGAGATGCAAAGGGAAACCAATGAACTGTTTGCCGCTCGTGGCAACTCATATTATTCAATAAGTCATATCAAACATTGGGATGCCAACTCTTCCCACAACTTTCTCCGGGCCTTAGATGTCAAGCCAGACATGCAGCCTACCTTTGTTTTGGGAAACCACAATGAGGTTGCCAGGCCACCCAGGCCCTTCCAATCCTTTAGGCCCTTGAACTTACCAAGAGCCATGAGCTCTTCATCAAACAATCTCTTCTCACAAGGTGCCAAGGAAGAAGAGGTTCTTTGAAGGAGCCAAGGCAAAGGGGTGTCAAGACCGTTCCTTTCTGCCACTGTCCAGAAGGTGCCAAGGAACGGTTTTGCTTTGACGGGAGAGACGTGGAGTGGGTGTGACGGAGGGCTCGTCTGATTGTGGGTTGCTCAGAACAAAGGCCGGTGGCCCTGAAATCGTTTGCGAACCGCTTGAACGTACCAATCACTCTCTTCTTTTTTCAACCCAAGGCAGAGATGGAAGCGAGTTCATGCGAGTTCTAGCATAATTATGGGTTGACATGTGGTGACTGGACTGGCCTCGGGCTTATATATAGTGGGGTGCTCGAAACAAGGTTGGCTGCGTGTCCTGACATAGGTTGTATGCACAAATTTCCAGTTCATCCCATTAGTTCCCAGATAGCGAAGCTATGGGTTTCTTACTTCAAACAACAATGAGCTGCCTGCACGCGCTTTCGAGACAGGTTGCCGGTGCCGGTGCTGGTGCTGCGAGCTGGCTGCGCGCGTGGTAGAGACAGGGTGCTGGTGCTGGGTGCCGGGTGCCACTGTGCACGTGGTCGAGACAGGGTGTCGGTGCTTGGTGGTGGGTGTTGGTGCTGGTGCTGGTGCTGTGAGCTGGCTGCGCAGGTGGGTGCTGGGTGCCGGGTGCCGTGAGCTGGCTGTGCACGTGGTGGAGACAGGGTGCCTGTGCTGGGCGCCGGGTGCCGGTGCTGGTGCTGTGAGCGGACTCAGGGTGCCGGTGCCTGAACACAGGGTGCCGGTGCCGGTGCTGGGTGCTGGCTGTGCGCGTGGTGGAGACATGGCGCCGGTGGTGGTGCTGGTGCTGTAAGCTGGCTGTGCGCGTGGTGGAGTGCTGGGCGCTGGCTGTGCACGTGGTGGAGACAGCGTGCCGGGTGCTGGGCGCCGGGCGCTGCATGGTGCCGGGTGCCGTGAGCTGGCGCGCCGGTGCTCGGTGCTTGTCCCCGCTTCTGACAGTGAAGTGCTAACAACCACCGCTTCTGACACAGTGAATGGTGACAAACCGCCACTTGTAGCAGTGAAGCGCGACCAGCCGCCGCTTCTGACAATGAAGTGCCAGCAGTCATGGGCCGCATGAACTTATGCACGCAACATCATGCGGTGTTGTTGCTTGAGCGTTCTTTGTCTATTAGCGCTGTGGTGTATTTACACTCTTCAGGTGCTGTTTTGGCCGACAGCTGTGTCAAGGGCTGTACTGTTTGCACGCGTACTTGTGTACAGTATATAATGTTCTATGCGCAACGTCAGGCTCTCAACCAACCATTGTTTCAGCATGTTTCAGCATGCTACACACACAATAGTCGCGCTGGATACTGCTTGGCCTTGGGCAAGTGAAGCCTGCGGGCTTTGCCGTTTGTGCGCAGACTTTTGTGCGCATAAACTTATTCGCGCAAGATCATAATTACGGTGTTATTCCTCACATAGAGATAGCTATGGGGCTCTTGCTGCAAATAAAAATGAGTTGGCTGCGCGCGCTTTCGAAAGGGTGTCGGTGCTGGTGCTGGTGTTGTGGTCCTGGGTGCTGGTGCTGTGAGCTGGCTGAGCGCGCGTTTAAGACAGGCGGCGGCGCTGGTCGGGTGCTGGCGCCGCTGCCGGTGTTGTCAGCTGGCAAAGCGCACCGGTGCTGGTGTCAGCTGGTTGTGCGCGCTGTGGAGGTGCCGTAAGCTGGCTGTGCAGGCTGCGTACATTCTTGTTCCAGCCAGTCGCAGGTCAAGAGGTCGTGGGATTCTGCCTAGCTATCTGGGTCTATGCTGGTGTAATTTTGTGAAAATGTTGGCCAAAAAGCCTGGTACAATGCAAACAAACTGCACATCGAGGCTCAACACTGCAGCGGTTGCCGTGGAACAGTTATTGTACAGAGAAGAAAGTGGCACCTGAAGCCACAGAAGCGGTTGCTTCTCCAAAGCCAGTCCCGAAAAAGCCTCCCTCCAGTGAACGTGGATAAAGTGAAAAAAACGAGCAAAAGTGACAGACATAAAGTTTGCAATTTTTCCAAGGAACACCTTGACGTTTTCGCTGTACAAGTTTCTTTTAAAGTTCTGTTAAACAACGAACCAACTATATAGGACACTTCGCCCAATGCTTCAGACATAGGCCTACATAGATAGGTTTGGCCTTATTCCCCACCATTTTTCTCTCCAGATATTTCTTTTTCGCCACTCCAAAGCAAACTATTAAACTGCGTGTCGTACAAAACTCGACCAACATGCGAGCAAGACAAAGAGATCAGTCTCTTCCTGTGGACATTTGTGCCCCGTTCCTCCATGATCGAGACCGGCCTGGAAGGACGCGTGACAATTGGAGGTGGCGGTGGCGAACCACCCCCGGAGGTTGGGGTTTGGGGGGGGCAAAATGTCAAGACAACCATCGACTAAGCGTTCTTCATTTTGCACAAGACTATGGCCTTCCCTGTCGCAGGTACCAACGTGGGTCCTTTTTTGTCGACAGCTCCGATCGTGGTGCATTATTGGCAGCTGCCTTTTGCTGCTGCTGCTGCTTGTCGGCCTGGGTCTTGGTTGAAACGAAAGGCAACAGAGGACACCCCATCCATGTTTTCGTTATTTGTAAAGACACTACAGGAACAAAGGATTTGACACATGGGCTGTCTCAACTGCCAGGCTTTCCGATCTGGATGTTGATAGACTGGTTGAAAACAGACAAAGAGGCTGGGCTTCTGGGCTGGCAAGTGGGCAGCACGCAGCTCGTCATGCCACGTGTTTGTTGGATGCCAGCTCGAAACTACACATGCCTACACATGCAGACGTTTCTTTTTTTTGCAGGCAGAGAACTCCGCCCAGATGTTTGCGGAATTTTCCACGTGGGGCAACAAGGTATCTGACTATGTGGTTGAAGAAACCTCTCAAGCATTTGCCCAAGTAGACGCCCGACTCGACCAGTACTTCCCCACGATGCCCGTGGAGCAAAAAGCGGGAGTCATGAACATCGTCAGCAACATGGGCATTTTGGGAGCGGGGGTGTCGAAACTGGAGGATGATGCATTCAAAGCAGCCGCAGAGATTTTGTCCGGATTTCTGCCCGACTTTGAAGATGACGTGAAACGATGTGGGCTCTTGACGTCCGTTTGTGATTGCCAAAGAAGCTACATCCCGAAGTCCGGGTCCTTGGTTGGCAACTACTTTCGATGTGCAGTGATTCTGCCATCGAACGGCATGCTCTTCCAGGGGTTCCTGAACTTACAGCCTTTGGTGGGAAGGCGCTTGCAAACCTGGAATCAGAACCTGTACAGCGATGCCACCGAGGGCAGCACAAAAGGAGTTGATGTAACGTTCAAGTCCGAGGACCTCACATTTTCTTTGATCCCAGTGGTTGGTGGCTACCGAGCACAATTGAATTGCTCCTTGAGTGTGGCATTGATCGCATCCTTCACCGCTTCCTTCGGGGAGATCTTGCCACGGCGGGAATTCCCAGCGCCGGAAATTCCCTTCGCCATTCCCAGTTTGGGCTTAGCTGTGAGCGTCCAGGGCTTTGTGGAGCTTATCCCACCTGAGAAGTTGGAGATGGCCGTGGAATTTGAGAAGAAGTGGGTCACCAGTCTATCAGGTTCTATCGAGTGGAACAAGGGCTTGCACGGGTCGCGCGAGGGGCAGACGGCAGAAGTGTCTACCAAACTGGAAGTCAACATCAATTCAGGATCACCCGTGACGTTCACAGTACGCTTGGGTGTCCGAGTCCAGTTTCAGGTGCTCTCTATAGGCATTGCTGTGACCTTCACTCCACAGGTGGATGCAGATGCGAAGTTGCTGGCGCAAGGAGCGTTGACTCGCTTCGGTCGCTTTGAAAAATTTGCTTCAGGTGTCTTCGGGTAACACGCGTTTCCTTCAATGGTTTTGAACACCTTCTTCTTTAGAATATTTTAGAATCATGCTTTAGCTTTAAGCGTAAGTCATCCCTTGTCCCACGCCCTTGTCCTTTGGACTTACAGCCACCTGTCACCTGAAGGATCTATTTCGACTTCACTGATGAAGGCTCAGGAAGGTGGGCTGGAAATGTCTAGTTGCAATGCAGCAAGCTTTTTGGCCACCGGTTCGTTGGCATACCAGCCTGGGGTCACGGGTTTTCTGGCAGATGCCTGGCAGAACATCAAGAACACCAGTGGTATCATTGCGAATCAAATCGACAAAGTGTGGCCGGGATTCATCGACCATGCCACCAAGATGGTTCAAAGTCTGCTTCAATTGCTTCCACAGCCACTTGTGAGCCTGTGGAATGGAGGCACACTACAGATCTTCTGTTACGAGCTTTGGAAGTCTTGGAAGCTTCAACAATCATGCCATGATCAACTCCGTTGTGATTTTCATGGCTTTGGGCCTTTTTGGTCCTTTTGGTCCTGGCTCACGAAGCTCTTCCACGGGCCCCCCGCCTTCGCGCCCGCCTGCCCCGACGCCTTCGACGGAGTCGAGAAGCCGGGCACGCTCTTTCCACATGCCGACCAGGCCTAGGGGGTGAAATGGGGTGAAATTAATTGAAGTATCAAGTGGAGGGACTCTAAGATCTTTCCCTCTTCATGTTTAGGGGGTGGCTTGTCAAATGGTCTGCGTAAGCTCCGCCTAAGCCGCGCGTCAGCCTGTTTTGCCTTGAAAGACACACAAAGCCAAACCATTTATGAACTCTTGCCGCTCACTGCCCAGCCAAGAGAGCAACTCAGTGTTTGCCAATTCATCCTGCCAGATAATTTTGCTCGAAAGGCATTGTGTGCTTTGCCTGGAAAACACAAAGCGGGTAAGCTGTTACTGTGGTGCTAAAACTCCTTGGCGTGAGTGTTGCGTAAGCCCCTTCTTGCAAGAACTGCGTAAGCGTAAGCTGCCACTGTGGTCGCGTAAGCGGCGCTTTTGCAATGCCGTAAGAAGAATCTTACGTCAGAGGCAGATACCATGGGTTTTGAGAGCTGCTCAAGTGGAGGGGGGGCATACAACAACTCCCAAGCTGACTCGTTCTACCAACGTTTGCGCCGGTTGCGGCAAGGGTTGTGCAGAGGGGTGAAGCATGTGACGCTCATCCGAAGAGTTGTCCGCTTCGCTGAAGAGTTCCTTCATCGTTTTGGCAGGCCAACCCACGCAACTACATCGCCGAACTGGGAGACTTGGCAGTTTCCAGTGCGTTTTTCTGGAGTTTGAAACTGCAGACCGTAGATTCTTGTTTCAAAGAGCGTGGATACGGAACGGCTGAGGAGAGTTTTGCGGGACGGCTTCTTGGCTACCAGAGGAAAACCGTTTTCGTTTCAGCCAAAGGAGCCTTTGCTGGTTCTGTTTATCACCAACGTCGTCGCAAGGCCAACAATGGTGATGTGTACACCTGCCGAAGTGACCTTCAATGTCACTTGGGCACAGCAAGGATAGGCGTTTTTTTCTGCTCTCATACAGTTCCGAAGGTTTTATTCGCACTCAATTATAGAATTTTGCGTTTCTGGGCAAACATGTCAGTCATCACAAATCCATGGAGTTTTAGCGCAATTGGATATTTCCGGGATGGGTTTTGGCAAGTTTTGACAGTTGTCAGAGTGCACCGAGACCCTTTTGCTTGCGTTGCAGGCCTCTCCTACATCTGCCATACAGCTGCGAGTTTCCGTGGCAGTCACCCAGATCCTGTGTCTCAGCTCCCAGCTCATACATCTGAAGACTTGGTCGTGACCGAGATCTCCAAAGTTCAGCTCGCACCGGACCCAACTGCTCATGATCAGTACTCTCCGGTGCATGAGTTTGTTGACGATCCGGAGACTTTCGATGTGCACGCAACACAGAGCGCTCCTTCACCTTCTTCGATATACCCATTGGCGCAGGCAGGAATGACAACACCGGTGCAACAGTTCGATGGTGTGTGATGGTTCGATGACCTGGCTGAGGCAGATCAGATGGCAGACGCTGCAAATTGGAAAGGTGGGATGGGAAACCTTAAGCAGACTGACTTGGTGTTGCCGGTTGCGTTTTCAGTTGGCAAACATGCTCGGTTGCTTCACAAGATGCACGTTGGACGGGATGCGTCCGAAACCAACTCGTACCTTGTTGGATGAGAATCTAATTGCACAGCTCTCATGCCCGGTTCGCCTCATTTGGCAACCCGTCACATTGGTCATATTTGGATAGTCCAAAAATGTTCAACATATCTCAAACATCAGGTCCCAACACTGAGAAGCAGTTTGACTCACCAAACCACCACGGATATTCGGCTCCGGATCTTGTTTCCTCAGCCGCGAATCTGCTGGACTACACCATGGAGAATGGGATGTGCAGCTCGATCACCGGCCTGGGGCTTGATGGAAAGCCTTGTGCCCGGAGCCCCAGACTGCAGCGACTGGAGGGAGACCCGACCCCAAATGACGCTGCTTTGGGAGCCACGACCCATGGTGTTTCTGCTGCGGACCACGCGTATGGGGCGTGTTTCTGGGCGGTTTTTTCGTGAATATGAGCATTTGTTTTGCAAAAAGGAAGGGTATATACTATACCACTCAGTAGGTGTTCCATTTTGAGATTGTGGCAAATATAGCCCATTGCAAACATGTTAGAGAAAATTGTGGATTTGATAGAGATTTGAGGACGTCGTGGAGCAATGCTGCAAGATGCTTGCTTTGTTTGCAGCCCTTGCAGTGTGCGCAGTGTAGCTTTTCTTCAGTTCTTGGTCATCGTGTCCACCCGGTTTAGACAAAGATATGGCTACTTTGAAAGGCTTGTTTTTTTGGTTCACGTGTCAAAAACCTGTAGCTACAACACGCCTGGCGTCGTTGCTAGGGCGTAAGAAGGTATCAAAGAGACATTACGCCCATTCCCCATTCTGACTTCAGCAACAGTTGTCCCAAAAAAGAGGGGTAGCCATCGCTATAGTCGGTTGCAGGCCATTGCTATTAGCCACAAATGCTGTTACTCTATAGGTGTTCCAAGCACCCCTTGGACCGTGAAGTTCTGCCAGACGACGGGATGACACGGTGTCGCATGGACTGTGTGGACGTACAGGCTCCATGGCTTGGTTGTTACATGGACAGCTTCAACGTGCGAGCCTCGTACGTCTTAGATGATTTGTTGCCGAAAGCTCAAACTTCAAAAGAACAAAAAGAAACCATCGAAATGTTGTTGGAAGACAGGTATACCATGGCATATATCAGCAGGATTCAGCAGGTGTTTCCATGTTTTGCCTATGATCTTCATTTTTCCTCAGGTCTTTTCTTTTCCCATCAGAGAAAGCGGCGAAAAACACACATTGTCGTCCCAAGGGCTGTCCCACACGGACGGCCACCTGCCAAGCGAAGATCGTCCGTGGGGCCCAGTACCGCGCGATCCGGTCGCGCGGTCGAGCGATTTCAGGGTCCCACGCTGGACTCGTGAGGGACTCCGTCCCGTGGCCCCAAATAGATGGAAAAGTAGATCCCCACAAAATATGTGACATCGTGCCACTATCATGTTCTATCTATTTGGGGATCACTATATATTTTAATATATAAATGGTCTTTCGCTGATATGTCTGAAAAGGCATGTCCTTTACTGCCGTGGTGCAAAACATGGTCTTTGGACTTAGGGTATGTATAATAAAATCGTCAGTTGATTGGGCGTCCCCTGCTTCCTTTACAGTTGGATAAGTTATGCAGCTTGTCAGTGATTATTTGCCGTTTATCTTGTCTTTATGAGGTTGCTGTGGGCCAACGTTGTGGCAATGTGAGCGCCTCAGAATGTTTTGTTGAAAGCTGGCGACTGGTGCAGAGGACGTCACCAGAAACATGATAAAGCAGGTCCACCTTCAAAGGTGAGGCTAAGGCAGGTATGTCTAGCCCATGCTTGTCCAGCTAAAGTGCCCCTAGCCCGGCATGGCTCTGCTGGGTTTCCGAGCTTCAGTTGCTCATTGCTCAACGCATAAAGACGAGGCGCGCTTTGGGCAGCACAGCTATATCAATGTGGGACGATGTCGGATGTACTCTCGTTGTGTTGCAGCAGCTGAACTGCACTGGGTCCTGAAGCTTCAAAGTGCATGAAGTATGCAAAGATGTCCGATTTGATTGAGAAAGTGTGGCAGCTCTCATCCTTGTGAAGAACGGCAGACCGATTTCTTCACTGTTTACTTTGAATATTGGTTCAGCTAAGCCTGCAGTTCATGTTGCATAGCCTAAGGATACCACAGAGATCCCAGGCAGGGCGCACAAAAAATAGTGCACATGTGTGTTCTTCTCTTTTTGTCATTGCTGCGCGTGTCCCAGGCATGCTTGGTGCTGGACACTGCTATCAGAACATGTCCGTGTCTCAGGGCTACCCGTCACGTTCTGCTCGTGGGCAGCGGATCGCCCGAGGATTCACCGGCTGATCGACTTCTTCGACCCCTTCAACAAAGATTTGAAGGGATGATCATCGGGTGATCTTTCATCAGGTGATGATTTTTCATCACATGGCCAGAAACCCAGAAGAGCCAGAGTATGCCAGAGTCTGCCGGAGTCCGGTGGAAGAGGAATTTGATGGAACACATCACACCCGTTGTCCGAGAATTTCATCGTGGACATGAAGCAGGAGATCAATCCATGTATCATCATGACACTGGTTCTTTTGATGACTGAGCCATGAAACAGACCCGCGTGCGAAGTACAAGCTTCGCTCACAGGGTTTGGGTGTTCTGATCACGGGGTATGTGGACCCCTGTGTGATTATAGATCTCGTTTGCTGTTAGATGGGTCAAGACGACCGCAGAAAATTCGCTTCATGCACTGAAGGTGCCTTGAACTTTCTGAAAACCAATTGAGACTGTAATTCGCAAGGATTCCCAAGCAAAGTTTCTTTGCTTTCGCACTGGCCTTGAAAAAAACATTGAAGTCACATGAGATCTCCATGCCGTACACCTGTTTCATCACACGACAAGGGCGGACACGGTTTCGAGCGGTTTCGACGGCCATAGGCGGTCTGAAGATCTCGATTGTTGATGAGTACCACAACTGGACACGTTGGGGTTCATCAACCGTCTGCATGATAAGGGGGGGCTCATTTCTGATCCAGAGTAGGCCCACCAGTCAGTATCACCTCTAGGGTGGGCCTGGCCACATGTTTGATGCTTTGCACCCTGCATGGTTTGGGGAGGTTCTTGCGCTTGCACATACTCCTTTGTGAGTTTCAAACCACAAAGTATCATAGGTCCGAAGGATCTATTGCCACCTCTTAGGTCCATGGATGGTTTGGTAAGTCGGTAGGGCCTGTTCTTGTCGGCTTCGGAATCCGTATGAAAAGTGGCCGTTTTTGTTGGCTTTGAACGGATTCCTCACTTCCCAGTGTCCAAAAGTTATATGTTTGAAACTGCACCAATCTGTTCACTTCTTTTCGCATCAATCACCGGATGCCGATGACCGGATGAAACCGGATGCCAACGAATTACAAAATATGACATATACAATATTATCACTAAATGCTGAGGCGGGTTTTTAGCAGATCTTCCCTAGTCACCTTTCATTTGTTCCTTTATCATCCAATCTAGTTCTGTGGGCTGCTCTCTTCTTATCGTGCTTTGTACCAATTCAGAATATTCAGATTTGGCAAGTCATAGGACAGTGTTCAGAAGACGATACTGATTAGTAGTTGGTTCACGTCGTATCGGTTCATTTTTCAAGTCGCACGGGGACACCACGTCCCCATGGGAAGACTTCACCCGCCCCTCAGTGCGTTCTCACCGTTCATGCGTTTCCGCCCCGAATGCACCGAGTGCATGTTCGAAGATGTTGAGTTTCGGGCTGGTTGCGGCATGCAACATGGGAATCTCCACCGTAGAACTCGGTACGTGCAGCGGGGCGAAGAACGGTGAGGAGATCAGCTCACCGGGCCCCGCGACGACCGGAAGACGACGTTTTGGTGAGGTGCTATACCAAGGGTCATGGATGACTTCGGATGATCATGGATAGGTGACCTAGAGGAAGATCTTGGTGATGTGAAGGTTGATGGTCTTTGGTGTGTTCGTTTTTTGCTAGCTGGATGTTTGCTTCACTCATTGTCACGGTGGAAGGCATTTCTGGGTGGAACCGACCAAGAGGTGATCGCCGGTGCCACGTTGATCCATGGCCCAATTGGTTGCCTCCACTCTTCGACGGCATCGATAAACATGCTGCATCGATTTGCTACAGAGGCCCAGCCACCCGAGCTCTGGTCTCCAGAGACTGCGGAGTGAAGTCAAGTGGCCAAGTGAGGCCAAGCGTTTGAAGCCAGATGCTTCTGAAATCGCCATGTGTGGTACACCCGCAGTTGCTCAGGAACAAAAAAGGACTTTGCAGCTCGTCGATTCTCCAAGTTTGCGACATCTTGCACACACTCGGGCTGGTACAGATTGAGGGGAAGACGATGCAAACGCACACTTCGACTCCGAATATCCCTATATATATATTACATGGCCCCTCCCTTAAATATTTATTCCAGGGGGGCATGTCACATAGTGGAATATTTTTTGCAGGGGGTCTCTTTATGTTGAGACTCAAATGGAATAATTTCATGTCAACTAACACTGGAATAATATTTACATGATCGAAGCTACTATCGAAGCTTTTCGAGCCTGTCTTGGATCTGTTCCACGATTTGAGCCTAATGACAGAAAATATTCCTGCATCAGGTGCACATCCTGAATGAATAACATGTATGTATGTCCAAGGCTAGTGGAATAATTACTAATTATTTAAGGGCTTACGCCCGACAGCCGGCCAGGGGCCCAAGCAAAGGGCTTGTTGCAGTCGTGGTAGTGTTCTGGTCGTTGTTGTTGTTGTGGTTGTTGTTGTTGTTGTTGTTCTTGTTCTTGTTCTTGTTCTTGTCGTTCTTGTGGTTGTGGTGGTGGTGGTTGGACGTGGGTGTTGTGGGGGTGGTTGTGGGGATGGTTGTTGTTGTTGTTGTTGTTGTTGTTAGCCCAGTAGCCGTCCACGATGCAGACGAAGCACCCCGGTGAGGCAGTTATTTCCAGCATTATTTGGGCCTATTTTCGGCTTATGTTGGCCCATTTTGAGCCACAAAGACGGAAAAGTGGAAGAAGTAGAAAACACTGTAAAACACAGTATTCTGCATGGTTCGCCGGGGGGTCGGCGGCTGGGGCGGGACTCCCCTCTCTCCTTCGGAAAGGAGGCAATGACGCGGCCAGGTCGGGGCCCCTGGCCGGATTGCTAGGTATGTGGACGTAGGGGGGGTCTAAGGTAGGGGGTCATTATATTACAATATAGTTAATGTTTTGAAGATCTTTATCGTTGTCCTATACGTATACACAGGACAGCAGGCAAGATGAGACTACATTGTGGTTCCACAAGCTTGGCGGATAAGGCCTGGACACAGAGTCCAGCCACAGAATTTAGGGGCGCGGCCAATGAGTGTGGCTAGCTCTGTTTTTCTAAGATAGAATTCCAATAATAAACTATGTGGGAAATTAATATTAACAACAATTAAAAATATTAACAATATCGGCAATGATTCAATGATAATTTCGCTTTATCGTGAGGTAATAATAATGCTAATGATATAATATTTATAGGAATAATTTAAAATCGATTCGTTTGGATTAATATATATTGAATCGTTATTTGTTCGGTTATTTTTTTTGTTAATCGGGTTATAGAGATTACTTGTAGAATTTAGGGAGGCGATTAATGAATATAATTAGTATATTTTAAAAATATATTTTTTATAATGAATTAATGAAATAATTAATAAATATAATGTATTTTTATTAAATGCTATAACTAGAAATAATATTATTTATTTAATATATTATTGGATTTTATTTATTCTATAAAAAATTGTATTTTTAATTGAGAAGCATGGTATATGATTTGTTAAAAACTCGATGATATAAAATATGATATAACTTTAAATGAATTAAATTATGTATATAATAGATATTTAAAGATATTTATAAGAAAGATGTATTTATACGATTGTTATTTGTATTTTTTAGTATATTTGGAATGTTGGTTGAGGTTTATTTTAGGTTGAATTAATTGGTTTATAAAAAATAATGATATAAATATAATACATTATAATATTTCTTATCGATTTTTGAAAAGGTTGGATGGATGATTATGGATAAATGGAAATACATGGATGGATGGATGGATGGAAATGGGATAGATAAATACAATGATGGAATATATAATTGTGTAAAATTTACGCTGTGCACTTGTGTTTCGGCAATTCGAACTATTTCCGACCTTCATTTATCGTCGTTCTTTCTTAAGATTGGGAGGGCAGTTGCCTTGCAAAAGGCGCGGCCGCGGCGCTTCAGTGCGCCCTTTTGTTTTCGTGTTTGCGGACTTCGGATGCCGCTGCTACCTTTTTCGCATTGGTAGCGGAGCTTCTTCCGGGGGGCTCCGAATCCTTTGCGCGGAGAAGAACGAGGTTCTGCATAAGTCCTTTGTTACGAACCCTTGGCCGAGCTCTTTTGTTTCTCGTTGAAGAGCCCTTTCGGTCTTGGCTACTTGTTTGAGAATGCCACCAACGACATCGGCTGCAGAAGGTTCCAAGGATGGTGACTACCTTAACTTGCGCGACTCCTTCGTTCCACTGTTTAGTGGACAACCCTAGGACTACAAAGAGTACAGAAAGAGGCTGATGCTCTACCACCACAAGATGAAGATTAACAAGCGTTCAGCCGAGTCCGTCCTGAACATCCTGGGAAGTTTTTAGGGTGTGACGTGGCGGTTATTCGAGGACTTCTTAATTGAAGAGGCTGAGAAAGAGGATGGCTTTAGCAAGATCATCACCAAGCTCGACAAGAACTTCGAGTATAACGATCGTGTGCTCCTTCCGAATGATTTTGAGGAATACTTCAACTTGTTGCAAAGGAAGCCACAGCAAAGCCTCCTGTCCTTCGTCACCGACCATGACACCGCCTATCGTCGTTTGACTGCCCATAATATGACTCTTCCAGTCCAGGTTTAAGGATGGCATCTACTCCGACGTGCTGCTTTGTCAAAGGAGTAACGCCAAATGGTGACGCTGAAGGCTCCTACGTTGGAAAAGAATCCTGTCATCGAAGCCCTGTACCTGCTGTTCGGTTAGGACTACAAAGCAGGCGGCTGGAATGCTGAACGTGATCGAAAGTTCAACCGCTGGAAGGGCCGCGGCTACGCCGCATTCGATGAAGAAGATGCCTACTGGTCCGAGCAACCCTGGATAGAAGACGCCTACTATGAGGCCGACGACTGGTATAATGACACTGCCCCTGACGATGAGGCTGACTTTGACTATGACGCCATCTACTACGGCGAAGAGGATGAACCTGGAGAACACCATGACCTGTCCGAAGATCCTCAAGAGTTGGCCGAAGAGTATGACCACGCCTATGCCATCTACTTGGATGCCCGGCAAAGATTCCAGCAGCTCAAGTTGGCTCGTGGCTACCTGCCGATCGTCGCCCTCACTGATGGCTAGAACGCTTCGCCCGCCTCTGGATCCTCTTCACCTTCGAAGGGCGCCGGCAAGAACAAAGGAAAGGGCAAGAGCAAAAGCAAAGGAAAAGGAAAGAATGTGGTGCGCTATCCACCCTCCTCAGGTGGAAAGGCTGATCCAAAAGGTCGTGCAAAGGCAACTACATGCCTTCGTTGTGGCCAACCAGGTCATTGGGCAGCGCAATGTCCACAAGGTGCGAAATCACCCTCATCGTCCAACAAGAGACCTGCACCCACTGAGGGTATGGCCTTGCAGAATGAGACCGCCTTGGTCCTGTTCCAGGATGAGATGGGCACCGACCGACCGGATGCCACCATGCTTGACCCAGGTGCATCTGCCTTCCTGTGCGGATATGGTCCATTCGGCCGCTATTTGAGCCTCTTGCACTCCATGAACTACCCCATCA